AGCCTCCAAAATCCTGTCTAGGTTTGCTATGAGTTGGCATTGGCATGATGGCAGTGGGTTGGGTTTGGTGTTTGGTATTGCCCAATAACTTTTAAGTAGGCTGACACTCAATTTCCTTGTTTTTCTCCCCCTTTGGATCTTCTTATTGTTGACTTTTAATTTTATAGCATTGTGGTCTGATAAGATGTTTTGAAATTTTTTATGTTGTTGAGACTTGCTTTGTGGCCTAACACATGGTCTGTTCAGGAAATTCCTCCACGTGCGCCGGGAAAGAATGCGTGATGTGTGGTTTTATGTCTGAGAGCAGCTGGCTGACTGTTCAGTTCTCCTGTGTGCTTGTCCGGCTTCTTTCTAGTTCTGTTCTTCAGACGTGGTATATGACAGTCTCCCACTGCTACTGAAGAGTCGTATCTTTCTCTCTCCACTCTAGTTTGAGTCACATATTCTGAGATTCTTCCATTGAGTGCAGATCTGTATTGTGTCCTCTTCTTTAGTATTGCCACTCCTACTTCTTATTGCCATGAGATTGATATGTATACATATTTTTCCTTTGATTTTTGTGTACCTTGTAGATAGCACATTGGTGGGTCCTATTTTCTTGTACACTTTGCTGTTCTCTGTCTCTTGATTGATGTATTCAATCTATTCACAGTCTGTGTAATTATTGATAGCTGTGAGTTTATTGGGGTCATTTTGTGTTGTTGGTTAAATTTTTGTAGTGCTACTGGTTTGTTTCACATGATTTTCTCTGCTGCGTGAATTTATTTTTGGTGTGAATTTTCTTGTCGTTTTCTTCACTGCAGGTGTTTTAGGCTGTCTACCCCCATCAGGAGTTAGTGTCCGACACCACAGGGAGCGCTACTCTGTTCTCGGGTGGCACTGCGAGTAAGTCTACTCAAGAGCAAGGTGTTTGAGAAATCTTTTTTTAAAATTTAATAAAATGATTAAAAAAAATAAGCACAAAGGAATAAAAATATATTTCATTAAAAAAATTAAATTAAATTAAAAAAATTTTTTGATCAGAAGGTCTATTAATTTTCTTTGAGGTCACCTTACTTTATTCACCCCCCTAAACTTAAAAGTCTGTTCTATCTTGGAATCTACTCGACTTTCTATTTGGAAGTTCTGTAACTTTAATTTTTTTCTCTCTGTTCACTGTAATTTTCTTTGTTTACAAATTGATATCTCTAGTTCTCATTCTGTCTTGTGGTTTGGTTTTTCTTTGGATACTTTCATGTCTGGTGTCACTCGTGGGTGATGGTGTCATGTATGTTAGTCTTAGGGTGTTATCTGCCAATTTTTGGTTTTCTGCCCAAAGAACTCCCTTTAGTATTTCTTGTAAGGTTAGTCTAGTTTACCTAAATTCCTTTAATTTCTGCATATCTGGAAATGTCCTAATTTCACTGTCAGATATTCCATGGATAGTTTTGTTAGCTATATAATTCTTGGTTGGAAGTTTTTCTTTCAGAGTGTTATATATGTCACCCCATTTTCCCCTTGCCTATGTGATTTCTGCTGAAAACGTCAGACACAGTCATATTGCTTGTCCTTTGCAGCTAACGTTCCGTTTTTCCTGGACTGCTCCCAGGACTTTCTCCTAGGCTTTGGCTTTGGAAAGTTTGATTATGACGCACGGTGGGGATTTTCTTTTGCAGTTTATCCTGCTTAGGCCTCTTGGCCTTCTTGAGTGTATATATATACAAATACATATACAGATACACACATATGCATATATATAATTGATCATGGCTATGAACGATTTTATTAAGAATAATCGTTTACATTATAATAATTGGTAGATTGCAAAGACCTCTGTTTCTGCTGAGTTTTCCACAAAAATATATGAATGCATATTTTTTCATCTTTCATATTACCAGAGAAGTTTCTTACCAAAAAACGCTGTGGTAATTTTCTCTGTGCCTTGTGTTTTCTCTGCCTGTGTTGAAACTCCAGTGACATGTAAGTTATTCCTCTTGGTGATCCATCCATGTAGGTCTATATATCTGAATTTTTACTATAAATCTTTGGATTTCTATTTGTTGTTTGGATTGTTTCTAATTTTCCATTTATTTTGTCATTCTGTTATTGTAGTGTTTTTCTGAATTCTTCTAAACTCTTGCTTGTATTTCCTCGATTTCAACTATAGTTTTCTTACTCTTTCTCTCAAGCCATCGAAAGTCCCATACTACCATTCTTTTGAATTCCTTATCAGGTGGTTCCAATGCCATTCTTCTCAGGAAAGGTTTGCTGGCTCTGTGTTGTGGTCATTTGTTTGAGCCATTCTGTCTCGTTTCTTCTTGTGAACTGAAATTGTTGCCCCCAAGACATGGCAATGGTGTTGTATTTACAGTTAATTGATTTTATGTTGGTGTCGCTGCAGGCACTCACCACTGGTCTTCTGGTGAGTGTGAGAGGAAGCATGGGTGTGCACAAACTTCTTTGTCACTTGTCGGACAGTGGGTGGGTTTGACGGGTTTTGGCTGATATCTCCTGATGGCCAAATGGTACAAGGACAGGTAATGGCCCTTGTCCAACGGTTAAGGCTTCAGGAGGTAGAGGTGTGGCTGGGTTGTAGGGGAATGGTGACTGTCTCCTGCTGGGTTGAAGAAGGGGAAAAATACAGGAGAAAAGAATGAAAAAATACAACAACAAAAAGGAAAAAGAGAAAAAACCAGCAGGGAAAAGAGGCAAACAACAAGAAGAAAATAATTAACTGACTACAAAGGGAGGAAAAAGAAAGGCAATTAGAAAGGAAAAAGAAAAAAGAAGAAACCACAGTAAACAAAACTAGAGGGGAAGAAAAAAAGAAAACGTTAAAGAAAAAATGGAGCAGAAAAGAGAGAAATGATAAATAGAAAGTGAAGGGGGCAGGGAGCTTGGGTGGGGGCAGAGACGAGGAGACAAGCCAAAGGGGCAGGGCACCCGGCATGGGTTGGCATCCTCTGCCATCCAAGGAGCTTATGGTTGTTTGAGGTGTGTGGTAAGGGGGTGGCGCACCTGGCTGCCATCCCAAAGGTGCCTTGGGTCAGAGCATCTGATCCGAAGTTGCTGCCAGTTTAGAGCGTGGCTGAGGCCAGTGTCCTTCTTCCCTGAAGGAATTCTACTGGGGCCAGAGGGCAGTGCATTCTGCCTCTGACGTGGATCGTGGTGGGCCTGTCTCTGACCTCAGGTGGAGTGTGGGCCGTGTAGGGCATGAGGTTGTCACCAGCCACTGGATTGGTAAAGGTGTGAGCAAGCCATCTTCTGTGGTCACCAGGAGGGCGTGTATGGGACAGGGAGAGGATCCCAGCTGTCTGGATGCCGTCCTAATCAAATGGTGCATGCCCAAGTTCAAGATGGGTGTGCTGTGTCAGGCCAGCTGAGAACTTACCTGTCCTGTTTGCTCTCTTGTCCCTTTTATTCAGCCCACTTCTCGACTTTCCATTGGTCTCGCATGTCTTTGCTGTAAAGGACCTGTTTCATCTGCCATCTTTGTCTTTGATAGCTAGGAATTTAACCCTTTCATGGCACCAAGGTCTTACCCACCAATTGCTTTTCTTGTTGTAGTGTGTGCTACCACCACCTAGTGGGACCTGTGTAGCTGCATACATCAGAATAGGCTCACCTCACCAATCTTACCACAGAAGTCCAGTTGGGACACACGTGTCCCACGTAATTGTATAAAAATCCATGAATATCTCAAGAAATGTCCCCTTAAAGGAAACCCGCCTTGACATCTGCATGCCTTGGTGGAATACAGGGCCCCTGGGGGTCAGCAGGGACTCAATGGCAGTGTCGGGGGCTCTGTGGTGGCAACGTGGTTATGTGTTCCAAACCATCGAAATACAGGTGAGGCTTTCCACTCCTGTAATGACTCCGCCTCGGAACCCCCAGCAGCAGTTCCACCCTGTCCTGTTGTGTGCTGATGAACCAGAATCCACCCAGGCGCGAGTTTGGTTTGGCGTGGTGGTCCCTTAGTGAAAATACATAATACTAACATCAACTCCTAAGCAGAGACTGATTCTATATTGGAAGGGCTTAATTTGTGTTTGCTTTTCATTGTCTTCCCTGCATGTGTTGAGTTGAAGCTTTTAACAAGCCAAAAAGAAGCCACTGTCCCTTCCCTTGTTCTCCTCCCCTTCTGGGGCACCTTTCCGGATGCACGCTGAGCGTTGCCTCTCCACAGGGCATTCTCAGTCATTTCTGCAGATCGATTTTGAATTCTAATTACCTACCTTAATCAACTCTCTGGTCTGCTCAGTTATACATGCAGTGGTTATGTATTTCTAGAAGCTCTTATTATTCTTCCCCCCAATTGTTTCATAATTTGGACCCCATCCAGTTCTGCACCCCCACCAAGAGAGGAGGGTTGGGCAGGGAAGTGTTTCAAGAAGTGCTTCCCATTGCCAGTCCTGGGTGGGCAGCGGGGCAGGATGTCTCCTGAAGAGGGTGGCTCTGAAGGGTGGGGAGAAGGTAGCCCAGTGGAGGGAGGGGTGCTGCGTGCAGAGGGAGGTGTCCAGGGTTGCAGCATGGAGCTGGCCATGTGGCTTGCCTCACCACAGGCAGATGCTGTATCTTGTACCACCTTTGAAGGGCCAGGCCACTCTTTGTCCTGTTACATGAGGCTGGACAATTCTTACTTGTCCGTGTAGGACAGAAGAGTCCCAGTCCTATATATGTGGTGAGAAATCCAGTCATCTGTGCAGAAGATGTCACACATGTAAGGATAAAAAATCCTCATCCTATGTGAGGACAGAAGATGCTCAGTTGTGTACAGAAAGTCTCAGCCCTACAGGAGAGCACAGGTAGGTCTCAGTTGGACTCTGGGGACACAAGATTGCATCAAATATGTGAAGACTGGGTTCTCAGTCCAGTGTGTGAGGATGTAGGATTCTCAGTCGTGCGTGACACGTGAGGGCAGCACCCCGACAGAGGCCCTGGCTCCATCATACCACATGGTCACCCTGCTGCTCTGCAGAGAAACCTGGCAGGTGATGGACAGTGACTCACAGACACAGAGCTCAAAACCGAGGGGACTCATGCTTTAATAACACCGACATCACAAAGGAAGAAGGCCAAGTGCCTTAGCAATCTCAATAAAAATATGAAGTTCTTTTCACATGGCAAATTTTGTAATATAAAAAGTTGTAATGGCATCTGAAAACTGTGTAATTTACAAAAAAACGTCCATGTAGGCCAAAGATGGCTGACACTGCAAACTAGGAGGGGGTGCCAAGTGGAGAGGGCACCCGGGGAGGGGCACGGAGGCCCTGGGTGGGCGTCTCTGAAGGGCACAGAGGGAGCCCTGTTCACGAGCCACAGGGACAGTCATTTGGGTTGAACAACATGTTGAACACAGGGTGGAAACAAGAGTCTCTACTTTCCCGCTAACGGACTGAAAGCAACCCAGGCAACTGTGGGGCACTTTCCCAGCCTGCCCGGAGCAGAGCAAAACAGCAGCTCTCCCCGGCCTGGGAGTGTGTGGGGAGACAGTGGGCAGTCTCAGGGTCGGGGTGGCCTATTCAGGGACGCAGCCAGGGCCTTGGGGGCCGAGATCTCCCTTGAAAACTGGGGTGACGGGGAGAAGGCTGTCATTTTTCTTGGACCAGTCTGGAGCCGAAAGTGTTAGAAAGCTATTCTTTCCTTGGCATCTTGACAGCGTTCAGAGCACCCACATGGTTGAGGGTCACTGGTCAGGATTGGACCGGTCCACCCCCTTGCTGTGGTCAGACTGGGAGCTCACCCGAGGGCCTTATTTGCTGGGACTCTGTGCTTGCTGCTGCGTCTCGGGAGTGGAGAGGGGCAGGGCGTGGCAATTCCTGAGCTGAGGGAACAAAACCCACCACCACGAGCACAGCTACTGCTGTCGGCACTGGGTTAGGGCTTTTCAGTAAAACCTGCCCGAGTTCACTTGCCCCAGGGCAGCGGAGAGTCAAGGCTTAGGCAGGGGTCCTTTCTTCCTTACCAAGCCCAGGGCTGCCTCCCAGGGGAACACTCTTCCCCTGGGAGGTGGTAACATAATGCAACCCCAATCATATTTCTTCTCACCTTTGCCAAGAGCCAGCCTCCTGAAAGAGCCACAGGTGAAATAAGGGGGGGTGGGGTAGGGGTGAAGGCAGGCAGGAGGAACAGGGCTTCAAAAAGTGTGTGGGAGAAAACTGAATTAAGAGGGAAAGGGCTTTTCCTACAATCTTTTTGAGGTTCCCTCGTATTTTAGGTTTGTCAGGCCAAGAGGCAAAACCAAGACTCTTGGGCAGGGCCTGAGATGACCCTTTAGAAAGGTGAGAACCGGTCTTGATGTGTGGGCTGTGAGACTTGCCTAAAAGATGCTGGTTTAGGGTCCCCTAATGGAGGGTCACTGTGGGGCTTGGCACTGTTTTTTCTTGAAATGAACAGCTGTCTCCTACCAACCCAACGCCAGGCTGTGGTGTGGGGGGGCAGATAGCCCACCTTCATCCTATAAGCACCGGCTGCCTTGCTGAGCCGTCCTCCTGAGGTGCATGCCGGGCAGGCAGTGGGTATAAGGGGAGGGCGGCCCTGCTCAGGGAGGCTGCGGGGAGGTATGTGAACTGGTGGTGGATGTGCCTGAATTTCCCTTCTGCTCAAAAGGAAGCTGGGCTGGATGATGTCAACCTTGTCCCCAAACTTGACCAGCACTTATTGTTGACGATTCAAAATTTGACAGTTTTAAAAAACGTTTTTGAGCTTTTAAAAATAATGGCTATAAATGCAAAGTACTATTGATAATAAAACCAACTCGTTTATCTGCATACAAAAAGGTCAAGGTTGTGTTAAAAGCACAAAATTGCATTTTAAAATTACAGTTGCATAGTTCTGAAATGCCTGGGTAAGAGTTATATAAATGGGGTAGTGGTGTATGTGTGTGTGGGGGTGTCTGTGAGTTTTAAAAATTCAAGTTTGGCTGACAGTGGGGCCCTACGACGTGTGTGGCACTGGAAGCACTGTGTCAACCCGGGTTATTGCATTGTTTCTGAGGCCAAGACTGCTACAAGTTAATGACAAGTCATTGGCGGTTTTTTGTTGTTTTTTTTAAGCATTATTCCACTTTTTGGTGAGCACCCTCGCGACTTGGGTTTGCATCTGCCACAACCTGGCCAGCCCCAGGGAGCTGTAAGGCGGCTCTACAGGCTCACTTTCCAGGTGTGACAGCCCTGCAGCCACAGCCCCACCCCAGAGCCAGGGATGAACCAAAGTCCGACTGAAGAATCACATCAGAGACGGGAAGAAGCAGGAGGTCAAAGGTAAACATTTGGTGGCACGTGCGGTGAGTTCCACGGGCCGAGCCCACAGAGGTCCTGGCTCTGGGTGACTCTGCCGGCCTGGGCAGCGGAGCTTCCACTGATCGTGGGCTGGGTGGCGTTTGGACCTGGAGATGCCCTGGGAAGGCGGATGGCGGTGACTTGGGCAAGGCAAGTAGGCAGAGGGCATGCGGAGCCCGGGGCCAGCTGCTGCATGGAGACACGGGAGTGGAAAAGCCACTTCAGCATTTGGAGGAAGGGAAAACCCTGCCTGGGGGCAGGAACTTGTAGCCATTTGCAGAAGGCAGTCTCAAGGGGCGTGCCTGGGGTGCGGTGGTGGGTAGCGGGAGCGTGCTCAGCCTGGTGGTCTGGGGGCGCCAGTGTCCGTTGGGAGGGGACCCTGCTGGGGCTTTGGTGTGCTGCTGCAGGGACAGGTCCTTCAGTTCAAGCCTGTCCTCCTCGCTGGCTTTCTTGCTGTGCCGCGGTGACAGGTTGAGCAGACTGAGGACATCTCTCCGGGCAGCGGTGGGCCCCGAGGGGAGCCGGGGCGAGCTCTGCCAAAACATCTTCAAGTTGTGGATGGCCTGCACCTTCTCGTCCACAGTGGTGGCCTTCCGCCTGTCGGCCTCGGGTGCGTCTGCGGGGCTCGAGCGGGCTGAGCCCGCCGAGGAGTAAGAGAGTGCCGGGGACGGTGTGCTGCCGGCCGGGGACTGCTGGCCTGAGCTTGGGGACATGTTCCTTGGGGACTTGGAAATGTGTGCACTGTAAGGGGAGCTGGGGTACTTGAGTTTAAAGAGTGGCTGGTCACTCAGCGGGGGCGGGGCATCTGGGCCGGGCGTCTCTGAAGGGCTGCTGTGCCCTGAGCTCACCTTGGGGAGCGACGAGCTTCTGGCGGGGGGCTTTGGCTTCACAGTGACCGGTGACTGATGGGTGAGGATGGGCCTGCTGAATGCACTGGTTTCCGATGCCCTGAACACAGTGGTGCCCCCGGGCCCTCCTGGGCCCCCCTCGTCGGGGTGGTGAGTGGTGCTGGTCGGGCCGCCAGTCCTCTGAAGACGCTCCACTGCCAGGAGGTGGCTCTGCGTCTCCTCGAGGACCTTCCGGGCCAGCTCCTGCGGGTCCAGCGAGGGGCCACCCTCCTCCTGGGACTTGATGGTGCTGTCTGTCTCTGTGCTGGACTGGTCTGATTCCGCCGTGTCCGGGCTGGCCAGCTTCCCCACCTTCTGGAAGGGCGAGTTGGGGCTGGGGATGAGCGGCAGCTTCATGGGGGAGTTGGGCGTGCTGACCGACACTCGCAGGCCCCCGGCGGCCCCTGCCCTGGGAGGTCTGTGGTCTGGGGAGGGGCGGGCACGCTGGCCATCCAGGGAGGCTGTCAGTGGCTCGGTGCTGATGATGGCGAAGCCCTGGTACTCGTCGTCCTCCCTGCCGCCCGTGGGGCGGGCCTGCGTGGCCATCTGGCACCGGGGCAAGGTGGCCCTCTGCGGATAAGCCGTCTTGGACCGGTCGTAGTCCTGGCGTCCTCGGGAGCTGCTGCCCTCCACGCCCCCCTCGGGCTTGCAGACGAAGCTCCTGGAGGATGCGATGGAGCTCAGGCTGTACACGGAGATGGCGTCCGAGGCGATGCTGTCTGTGCCCATGGGCGAGAAGGGCGGGTGGGCGCAGCCCAGCGACGGGGCGTTGGACACAGACTGCGCCGACGCCAGCGACTCCAGGGAGGAGGAGCTGTCCAGGCTGAGGCGCTTGGGCAGCTCCGTGGAATCTGAGCATCAAACACAGGCCCCAAGGGCAGTTAGACGCCACAGCATCCTGCTCAGTGCCACCCAACTCCCTCTGGCAGCCCCCAAGGAGCTCCCTAACAGGCCTCAGGGTGCCCTGGGGGGGGATGCCCCTAATATGTCCTGGGGGGGTCTGCTTAAAACTGTGACCACGGCCCCAGTCAGGCCTGGTTTTCCTGACCTTGTCAGGTTCACGTGGGGGTGGGGGGTGGGGTGCAGCCGACGCAACGTGTCCGCAGCCACGTGTAGCACCTACCGAAGAGCGAGAGCAGCGACTGCAGTGCGAAGTGCACAGTCCGCCGGCTGGCCTGCTTCCCCGTCTTCAGAACCACTTCCTCCTGCCCCACCTCACAGAGGTCAAAGCCTGTGGGGACGGGGGCAGGGCACTTGGGCTCAGGGAGGCCCCCAGCAGGGCTCCCCTCTGCCCCTGGAACGTCATAAAACTACCCAAGGCCCCACACTGCTGGCCCTAACACAGGGACAAGGATGGCTGGGTGTTGGTTCTGGAAACCTGTCCGGGGTCTGTCGCCCGGGCCTTCCTAAGTGCCGTGGGTCTCCTGAGGGGAACCTGCTCCTGGCTGAACCGCCCAGGGCTTCACACCCAAGCCCAGGGCTGCTCCCTTCCCAGGAAGGTTGTGAGGCGCTGAGGAGGGGCACAAGGGAGGGCCCAGGGCTTCCTGGGTGCGCGGTGGCTTAATGAGCTGTTTGCACGGCCCAGAGCTTATTAAGAGCTGTTGCCGAAGCCCCAGGAGGAAGCCACCACATCACTGGGTGCGACAGGGCTCAGTGTCAGCACCTGAGACCCTTTCCTGGGACTTTCCCATGGCAGCTGCTGTGGTCCCTGCCCTGCAAGGTCCCCCCCAAGGTCTCGTCGGGGAAGAGACCAGAGGGCGGCATGCTCTTTGGGAGCCGAGGGCCCAGTACTGCTCTGCTCCCCATTCTGTTTGACATCAGGCACCCCAGGGAGCTGCTCGGCATCTGGTTGCTATGGGAAGCCTTCCTCTCGGCTCTCAAAAAGAGATTTCCCGGGCTCAACGGGACAACCCCAGGCGTGGTGCTGCGGAGAGAAGCCTCCGCCTTCACGTGATGTTGCCAGGCCTCGGAGGGGCTGAAGCCCATCCTCCTGAGTGTCCTTGGGATCTGCCCGGCACATGCGCACATCCTTGCAATGCGCTCTGCAGAGGTAGCCCAGTCCTCGGCCGCTCCGGGGGGCAGCCGAAGGCCCAGCACAGAAACCCTGCCCCTAGACCAGCCTGAGACACCACTGCCCCACACAGAACATGAGAGGAAAAGCCCCCCAGGTGTGAAGCTGGTGCTGCCCACTCGTGCCTCCACAGAACAGAAACATGCCCAGTGTACCGTGCGGAGGGTCCCCGGCTCCCAGAAGGGATCTGGAGCACAGCCCCCAAACACCAAGGCAAGGGGTGCGGTGGGTCTGGGTGTGTCGACAGCTACCTTAAGGTGGGCCGTTCAAGTCCCACAGAGAGGTGCAGCGGAAGTAAAAGCTGGGGCTCGGGCCAGGGAAACCCTGTGGAATGCTCAGTCCTGCCCCAGCCTGTGGGCTCAGCGAGGCACCGTGTGCCTCACTGGGGTTTGTCTTCCCACTGGAATGCAGGCCCCAGGAGGGCAGGGCTGTGTCAGCTCACTGCTGCAGCCCAGTCGCTGGAACCTCGGGGGCTGAGGGAATGGCTCCCAGGCATGTCTCGCACACCAGTGGGGCAAGGAGAGGTCCCCCACTTCCAGCGCCCGTCATGCAGTTATGCCAGGAGCTGCAAGTGTCCTGGGCTGAACAGGGCGACTTAGGGATACACCCATCGGTGCCCCGTCAAAGCAAAGTGGTTTCTGAAGTTAATTTTTCTCTGCCAGTTGCCGAGACAACTCATTCTTGAAGCCACTGCTTACGACAACTGTGTGCTAAGCCTTCCTCCAGTTTGTGGGCCCGACGACACTGCGCTGTTGTAGATTTGTGTTCATATTCGACTGAACCACAGCGTCAGGAGCGTGGACAGCACAACACTGGCGAGTTGTTTGGAAATCCAATGAATGCATTAGAATCTCTAAGTGGCTATAAAGTAACATCTAAAAGTACGCTGAGCTGGGACTCTTAAGTCTGTCAGCAGTGTGGGGCCAGGGCCAACTCAGGGGGAAGGCAGTCTGTGAAGCTGCCGCGGAGCAGCACCAGGAGACCCGGCCTTACCCAGAGCCGCCAGGAACTCATGGCATCCCGGGAGCCGCCACAACTGGACACTGATGGACACCTGGATGGGTGCTGATGCAAAGTCCTGGTCCTTCTCGCCAGCCTGGAGCTGAACCAGCACCTGGTGGAGCTGAGAGGGGATGCGGGCATGACACAGCCATCTTCCCTGGGCCGCCTCCCTCCTCAGGGCCTGTCCCGTGCCGTCACCTCGCATGGCATGGCTAGTGACTCCATGGCCCCGCCTGCGCGCCACTCTGAGGTTCTCTTTAATGTGCCTCTGCTGCTGACCACATTAGCCACGTGCTTTGGGAAGGCCAGGCTTCGAACCAATTCTGCCTGGTCCAGTCATGGCCAACAAAGTGACACCAGAATGGACCTGAGTTTTAGTAAAATGTCACGGGTGAACTGGCATGTTAACTGGAATGGAAAGGGGAGCGCTGGCAGCCCTGCTGGGAAGGAACCAGTGTGCACCTTGCTCAGCAATCACACCTTCTGACCGGCCCGAGTTGGGAACAGTGATGCCCATCCCAATGGTGGAGGCCAACCACCTGGTTTTGAAGATGTGCCCAGCAGCCATCCCATGTCACCTATCAGGGTTCACTGTGCCTCCTCCCAGTTTTCTCAATTCTGATTAGTGTTCTAGGTCATGTGGAGTTTAAGAATTTGGGTCCATCCATCAGCCAGGACTAAATCAGGTCAAAGCCCTGGTCAAGGTCAGTGGGGTCAGGGGCACAAGACAGTGTGTTAGAGGTCACGTCTTAGCCATGTCAACAATGGTGACAAGGGAAAAGTGAGTGCCCTGGGTTGAATGGGATTCTGGGTTGTGCCCTTCTAGGGGCCGTGGTACAATTAGGGGCTGCCGGTTACAGCCCTGTCACTGTCCCGGGAACACGCTGAGGCCACCTTTCTGCTGTTGAGTTACGTGGTGAAGCAGGGCGAACGTCTAGTTGCTCAGCACACAGAATAACCCGTGTGGCCAGCCAGAGGCCCGTCAGGACTGGGTGCGGCTTCGCCCCTGCTGTCCCTGGGGAACCTGACCACCAAACCAAGAGCACAAGAGGGTGGAGCAGGAGTGGGAGCCAGAGCAGAGGGGGGCAGATGGCGGCCCTGGTGGCCCAGCCCGGAGTGCAAGCACGGCCCCGTTACAGACGCGAGGGTTGGCCGGGGGGGCCCACCAACGACGCTGCCTCGGGGGCGGGCGGGGCGAGGGCTCACCTGATGGTAGCTGCTGCTAAAGATGGTACTCACCATTCCAACCATATTTTTAACAGCCTTCGCCAGCAGATTGAGAGACAGAGAGAGAGAGAAAGAGAGAGAAGAGTTTAGACTCAAGCACAGGCTGTTAGGCAACACGAGCTGACCGCTGCTTCCGGCCGGGAGGGGAAAGGAACAGGAGGCACAGCAGGGACACAGGAAAATGGACGGCCACGCTCCTGGGGGCTGGAGGTAGGTCAGGTGGAAGTCCTTGCAGCCCCACAAGAAGAACAAGGCAGCGACTGGCTTTTTTGTGCCCGTGTACACCTGTGGCCCCTCACTGGCATCAGCGCCCAGCCACCCGCCACGCTCCAGGAACTGCTGCCGACGGAGGCTCAGCCAGGTATCGGGGCAGCAGGCTCTCTGTAGACACCTTTCTGCTGAAAAAACCCACCGACAGGTCTCCCTCCTGCCGGCAGATGTTAAGTTTGCAGACATGGTCTCCCAGAGGACCAGAACAAAGTGCCTGTCAGGTGGCCAGGCCACTGCAGACGCCCCTGGGGTGGGGCCGGGGTCAGAGCGACAGTCTATAAAAGCAAGCGCATGCTCCAGGCTGCCCTGCTGCGTGGCCTGAGAGCCCCGCTTCCCCAGGGCCCATAGCAGGACTCAGAGTGGGGACACACAGGCTCGCTCAGAGTGGGGGTGGGGGTTGGCAGAGGGGCAGGTCACTGGATGGAGGGCTCAGACCTGGTCCCGCCACAGCACTGCTGTGGGGGCAGCCAAACTGGGCGGCCCGGCACTCACCCGGCTGATGAGCTGTTCGCCGCTCTCCGAGGCCGTGAGGAGCTTGCAGAGGGCCTGCAGCGCAGGGTTGGGCAGGCCTGGACGAGAAGGACAGGTGTTGGCCGGGCCTGGGGAGACCCCAGAACACCCTGTTTCCGGCCTGCCTGAGGCCGGAGAGGGAGGACAGAGATGGCCTCACAGGGGTCCCCAGTGGCCAGAGCCAGGGCGGGTGCCATCCCAGATTCAGAGGGACAGTCTGCCCTCCATCCCACTGCCCCAC